CTTAACAATAATTTTGTTTATACAATTTTAAATGAATTTTCATAGAACCAACATGGTGGCGATCACCTTGCATTTTGATTTTTTTTTTACATTTTGTCTTATTGCCGTTTAACAGCAAATTGTTGGCGTTAAACCAATATACTAGTTAAATAAATAAATAATAAATAAATAAAATTGTAATGATGGTGATGATGGTGGTGATAGGATAAGAAAATTCGATAGATGTCAAACTATGTCAACATAACACTGATATACGACTTTTTAAAATATCAAATGAGAAAAGAAGTATATATTTTTTTTTAACAAAATCTATTCTTAACGAGGTCACCAGGCGATCCTGCGAATTACTCTGAATATAGCTTGCTAAAACTTTATATCATATAAAAATATTCCGAACAAATCTGACCCCACGCTACCACTATCATTACCGGAAGTTCACCAAGATACGACAACAAAGAACATTTTTCCACGCAATTATACACTTTTTGTATAACAACTTAAATATCTAATTGGTACGAAAACGAATGTACAATTAAAACAATAGTTGTTGCTTATTGTACAACATCCGTAACAGTTTACGCACACCATGTCATTCAGTTGGAATCGACGAGTTCATACTTTCTGTGAACTGTAAACATAAAATACTTGTTCGCATGTCCGTTTGTTTGTAATAAAATCTGGTTTTTAGTAACAGATCGTTTTATGGCTTTATCAGATGTTTAAATCTCAGTGGTGGCCTCAAAAGTTTTTAATTCAGACAAAATATAAACTATTCATGCTATTTTTACTGAACTGTGGTAGCTCAGGGGTTAAGCGCTTGCCGTGAATTTCACAGTACGCGAGCAACTCGGGTTCGATCCCCGCCAGCGCTAATGAAATTGTTAATTGCAATTTTAAGTACTAATTTATCACGTGTTCGACGGTGAAGGAAAACATCGTTAGGAAACCTATATTTTTGAGTAATGAGAAAAAATATATATATTACAGAGACATGTGAAGTTCGCGAAGACCCTCTCAGAAATGAGGGGAGGCCTGCGCCCAGCTTTGGGACGTATATAGGCCGTAACTTAACTATATTTTTACTAATGTGTAATATTGGTGGTGTAAAAAAAGCAATCTTTGAGGAGGCCTTCGTTCAGCTGTGGACTTTTATAGACTGTGTGAAGTGAATGGCTACAAAAATAAAAATATAGTTTAAAGTATTCCACAGGTTCGGACGAGATAAGTTAAAATCGTTATATACTTTCCTATGCGATATAGATCTGTAACACCATTCGCTAAATACTTATATTAAAGGTTACAACAAGATGGGAGTGACGACTTAGCAAGACAGGAGGTCGATGTGGGAGGTCAACGATGCATGTGTTTTCGGCAATCTCTAACAAACGCTCATTGTACTGTAACACGCTTCAATGCTCAAATTGATGAGACTTGTCCCTTTTTGTGTCTACTACTGTGCACAGTTTCTAATGGCTACAGTAGAATAATTGGTTCCTCTGTACAACAACTAGCTTATGTTTTAATATTCGTCACTCGCAAAGTTTCATAAGGTTTTTTGCACAACACCGAGCACCAATCGACGTTAGTGTAGAGTGTAGAGAGCCGGATACCCTTTTTACTGGAAACGAGGGATTCCATGTTAGTAGATGACAATGACAGACGCAGTCTCGATGACTTCCAGCCTCCCGAACAAGCCGTTTTCCGAAAAGGCTTTAGCATCATAGACCACATACATACCCTTCGGCAAATTGTACAGAAGCCCAAGGAGTACAATTGGCCACTATGTCTTGCGTATGTGGACTTTGAGAAAGCCTTTGATTCCGTCGAAATTTGGGGGGTGCTACGGTCCCTTTAGCTGTGCCAAGTTGAATGTTGGTATATCGAAGTGCTGATGTGTTTGTACAGTAGGGTTACGATGGCTATCCGCGTACAGAACCAGAGTACGAGACCTATGCAACTGCAAAAAGGTATAAGACAGGGTGAGGTTATATCCCTGAAACTCCGCTGCAAGGAAGACGTTTTCAAGCTACTGAACTGGTATTAACATCAATAGCAAGTACTTCAATCATCTTCGATTTGCCGTCGATATACTCCTAACAGCAGAATTGCTGGAGGTTCTAAGCACTATGCTCAATGACCTCAATAGTGCCTCCCAACGGATAGGTCTTAAGATGAACACGGACAAAACAAAGATCATGTGTAACATCCATGTCATACCTAATGCCGGTAATTGTTGGGAGCACTAAGCTCGAAGTTGTAGCCGAGTATGTTTACCTGGGAAAAATAGTCCGACTTCGACCGAGAGAGTTCAATCGACGAATTCAACCTGGCTTGGCATGCTCGGGAAATTACGACACGTCCTCTCGTCAGGTGTACTCAAAATTTGAAAACAAGACTGTACAAATAGTGCGTGTTACCAGTGATGACTTCTGGATCTGGGACGTGGTCCTTCACTGCTGGCCGTATGAGGACGCTCAAGGTCGCTCAGCGAGCTATGAAGAGGGTTAAGCTCGGGGTTTCTCTGCGTGATAAATGAGGATATCCGCAGTAGAGCCAGAGTGACCGACATAGCCCAACAGATTAGTAAGCTGAAGTGGTAATGGGCCGGTCATATCTCGAAGAACTGACAACCGATGGGGAAAGAAAGTTCTTGAGTGCCAGCCTCGTACCGCTAGGCGAAGTCTAGGGCGACTCGACACTAGATGGACTGATGACTTAGTAAGACATGCAAGAAGTCGATGGATGCAGGTGACTTAGGACCGTGCCGAGTTTTCATTCCATTCCTTGGGGGAGGCCTATGTTCAGCAGTTGACTTGTGAAAGGCTGTAATGATGATGATGATGAATCTCGCCGTAAATATCACGAGAAATTGTTAATTGCAGTTTTAAATGCTGATTGACCACGTGCTCAGCGGTGAAAGAAAACATTGCGAGGAACGCTGTATGTCCGAGAAAAAAAAATATTTCGGTATGACATGTGAAGGCCGTCGAACTAATTTCTCCATGATCCTCTTAGAAATTAGAAAAGGCCAGAAATGGTACATATAAAGATGCAACCTTTTTTACTTACCTTACTTTTTATCTCTCAATGAATCTTTCTGCTATCTGTAAATAATAATTGTGACCTCTCTGTAACGTAAATCGGTCTGAATTTTTTTTTGGCTTCTTCCAGATCAGAGTTAAGCGGTTTTTCTTAATTAAAACTGAAGGGACACACGAACTCACAGTCTATCTGATGGTAAGTGGCTATGCATGGACACTTGTAGCCCACTTCAAACAAGGAAGGTTAAGGTGTGGTCCTCTGAGAACTAAATGCCTCACAGTCTGTATTTACTCCACTGTTAGTACTGTTTGGTTTAATTTCATATGCCTGTTAACCATTTTTTCAAAGGATAATGGTGACAAACGAGCACACACTCCACCTGAAGGTAAGTGGTTGCTGTGGCCCATAGACATCTACATTTATCTTCGATTATGAATCAAAATGCAACTGCTTTGACACACGTGAGGACTATGATGGAATGCCTCGTTTCCAGTAAAAAGGCTCTTCGGTTCTCTACACTCACCATACGAAACACAGCAGCGTCAAGCTGCCATTTCACGCTGGTATTCTGTGAGAGCGTGGTCCTTTCCCGGTCGAGCCGACCCATTCGCGCTACAAACCATAACATAGCTGCGGCATAGCTCTACCATGTATAAAATAGCTTATCCGAGATCACAGCAGCGCAGCGCTGTCTAACTTCTTTTTAAAATAAGAATAACCAACAATCACATAGTCCACCTGATAATAAGTGGATACTATACCCCATAGACATCTGTATCTACCCTCGATTAACTATCAAAATGTGAGTCCCCTGAGGACTAAGATGGAAGCCTCGTTTTTTATTTTATAGAAATAGGGTGACAAACGAGCACACAGTCCACCTGATGGTAAGTGGTTCCTGTAGCCCATAGACATCTACATCTATCCTCGTTTGAGAATCAAAATGCAGATGCGTTATCAGCCTCGAGGACTAAGATGGAATGCCTCATTTCTAGTAAAAAGCGTCTCCGGTTCTCTCCACTCACCATACGAAACACAGTAGCATTAAGCTGCCATTTTACGCTGGTATTCTTTGAGTGCGTGGTCCTTCCCCGGTCGAGCCGACCCATTCGTGCTTCAACTGTACCTCTAATAAAGCTGCAGCATGGCTCTACTACGGATAAAACTCGTTATCAATAAAAGGGATTGCCGGTTCTTTACACTCACCATACGAAACACTGCAACATTATTCTGCTGTTTTACGCTGGTATTCTGTGAGAGCTTTGTTTTATTCTGGTAGTGTCGACCCGTTCATGCTGCACTATAGCTAGCTGCAGTGTGGCTCTACCACATAACAGCCTCCTTAATCTTCAACAATCTAGTTATTTGCGGTAATGGACTAGAAGTTTTAGATTTACTATGGTTATTGTGATTTTATTATCTTTTTCTCTATTATTGAACCATTATTTTATTTGTTTAGTAATGGAGAGGCATCGAATCCTTACATTTTCGTTCAGTTTAGTAGAAAGCGCTCTAATTATGTGCAATAAAATTACTTTATGTTGTTACTTTAAAGTTTTTTTAAATTTTAATTACAAATAATTATTTATCATTTAAAAACATTAAAATGTATTTAAAAACATGAAGTTATCCGCTATTTCGGAACTATTTTACTGTGCTTTCTTGACTACATTCACGAGTAAAGTTATCAAAACTTATACGATCTACCCTCGTTGATTGAAGTTGTGCTTCATTTGCATATGTATAGAGTTTATAATTGCAAATCAGATGCATAATGAGCCAGATATATTAATGTTATGAGCATTTACAAGTACTTTGGGTGATAGCCCATCACATTGTCTCTGCCCTCCCCACAAAATGGTTGCGTTATTTTAGTATCTTTATTCTTTTGTATCACGATGTATCACACGTGAAGACACGCTAATAGTATCTGTGAAAGGAAGTGTAAATTTTTTAAAATGAGTGCGGTTAAAATTGTGCTTGTGCTTTTGGTGTTGTGCTGCGTCGATATGTTGGGGTCAGCGGATGCACTTCAGCAGGATGCTGAGGGTGTTTGCGTCGTGAAAACCAGGTCAGTATTAAATATAAAAGAAAATATAATGAGAGGCTCTGTAAGAAATGTTTTTATGCAAATATTATTTATAGGATAAATGTGATTTTGCCAACTCATCATTTATGATATATAGAATTTTTCCTTTCACTTTTTTGAAGATTTTTCAACTTATAAACATAAATTACTAAATACTTTTATTATATTTTTAATTTAAAATAAATTTCGCTAAGATTTTTAGTAGTATCTTCTGGGAAAATATAAAGAGTTACGAGTTACAGAGAAATAGTTTAATCATCATTATCAACATCATCATTACAGCCCTTCATAGGATCACTGCTGAATATAGTTAAATAACTAGTTATTAATAATTAGTTTTTTTTTATAGGATCGGGTGACAAACGAGCACACAGTCCACCTGATGGTAAGTGGTTACTGTGACCCATAGACATCTACATCTATCCTCAATAAAGACTCAAGATGCAGATGCGTTGTCACCCGTGAGGACTAAGATGGAATGCCTCTTTGCCAGTAAAAAGGGTCTCCGGTTCTCTACACTCACCATACGAAACACAGCAGCGTTAAGCTACTATTTTACGCTGGTTTTCTGTGAGAGCATGGTCCTTCCCCGGTCGAGCCGACCCATTCGTGCTACAACCATAATATAGCTGCAGCATGGCTCTACCACGTAGAAAATTTATAGTGATATGGTTTAATAATTTTAACTAATTATTTTTGTCGCCATGTAGTGACAGAGTAAGTTTCTGATTTATTTTAACTAGATCAAAAAGATACTAATCTACTTTTACTACTTGAATTTGCGTCGACGTCTAAGCCTTCCAAAAATATATTACCACATAATAGTCCGGGGTTGTCTTAAGAGGCAACGGAGGGAAACTGTAACAAGAGTTGGGCAGCAGCGTCTTTACTGGTAACAAATAAAAATAATAAAAATCTGTGTTTGCCACCCCGCGAAGCGTCTCACCGGAGTTTAAAGTTATCCAAATTTCAATTAAATGAAAACTAATGGAAGCAATATCTTATGACTGTGGTGTTTCAGTCGAAACATCAGTAACTCTATTCTTCTTAAAAAAATTATAGGATATATTTAAGCACCTTTTAGACTATTTACGAATTAAATATAAAGAAGTGCCTATATTATTATAACTTCACTTTCTTATCTCTGTTACTTTATGACTAATAAAGCTATGGACTCAAAACTTTTGCATCTTACAGACAACTTGAGATCAATTTAATCTTTGTTTAGAAGTATATTACTTAACAAAATGCTTAATTACTTATAGTAGCCAATCCCCATCGTATAATTAGCCAGATAGTAAAATTCCTCAGCAGTTTATAAAATAATGATATTTCATTATATGTCTCAGACTTAGACCAACAAATAAAGTTAGATAAAGATATCCTCATCAGTTTATATAACGATCATACCTAGTCAGGTCATAAGTATTGTCACACAGTAAAAACTTTTCTTTTAGAATGCTGGCCACAAAAAAGTTTATTGAATTCGAATTTCGAATTGTTCATGAAAATAAAACTGTATACTTTTGAGAATTTTACTCATATTTAAATATGGAGTGGACGCTTAAAGAAGACCGTGTTGCAGTTATTACGTTGCATCGTTGCGGTTACGCGCCAATTCAAATTTTTGACATACTGATAAATTTGAATATAACCAAAAGATTCGTTTATCGTACCATCAAACGATACAATGAAGACTCTAGTGTAGATGACAGGTCAAGAAGTGGTCGCCCTCGGTCTGTTAGGACTCCAGCAGTGATAAAAGCTGTGAAGGCGCGAATTCAAAGAAATCCTAAACGTAAGCAGAAACTGTTGGCCCTTCAGATGGGGTTGAGCAGAACCACGGTGAAAACGGTGTTAAATGAAGACTTAGGGCTTCGGGCATATCGAAGAAAAACAGGACATCGTTTGAATGCTCGTCTAATGGACCTGAGACTGAAGAGATGCCGCGCTTTGTTGATGCGGTACGCGGGAAAAAATATCGGGAAATTTTTTTTTCATGTAAAAATTTTTACCGTAGAAGAGAGGTACAACAAACAAAATGATAAGGTGTACGCACACAGTAGTGAAGAAGCGAGCAACCGTATTCCGCGTCTCCAACGAGGTCATTTTCCATCCTCGCTCATGGTATGGTTGGGAGTTTCTTATTGGGGCTTAACAGAGGTACATTTTTGTGAGAAAGGTGTAAAAACGAATGCAGTTGTGTATCAAAATACAGTACTGACGAACCTTGTGGAACCTGTTTCTCATATCATGTTCAATAACAGGCACTGGGTATTCGAACAAGATTCGGCGCCAGCTCATAGAGCGAAGAGCACACAATACTGGCTGGCGGCGCGTGAAATCGACTTCATCCGGCACGAAGACTGGCCCTTCTCCAGTCCATATTTGAATCCGTTAGATTACAAGATATGGCAACACTTGGAGGAAAAGGCGTGCTCAAAGCCTCATCCCAATTTGGAGTCACTCAAGACATCCTTGATTAAGGCAGCCGCCGATATTGACATGGACTTCGTTCGTGCTGCGATAGACGACTGGCCGCGCAGATTGAAGGCCTGTATTCAAAATCACTGAGGTCATTTTGAATAAACTTTAGTGTCATAAGAATCTATGTTTTGTTAAGTTCATTTTGGTATATAAAAGGTTACATAATGATTAAACTTGTTTCAATTATTTTATATTAAACATGTGACAGAATTTATGACCTGACTAGGTATATTCTGGATCCGGAACAAATGTTTGTAGGCCATAAAAATGCTTGTTCCGTTCGGGATCCGAACCCGCGACCCTCAAAGCCACAACTCATTACTTAGCCACTGCGCCACGGACACGTCAATTATGAGACAATTCGTTGTACTACATAAATGTATTCTATATATTCGTTATACTATACGTATGTCGACTAGTGTGTCGCGCAGATATTTTTTATAAAATATGGGAGATGAATGAGCTGACAATCCATAAGGATTCTGTGGTCCAAAGATCACACTAAATCACAAACTATGCTAGCGTTATTAAATAATAAAAAATTAAAAATTTTATACAACCGACTTCAATATAAGTTATTAAGAATAACTCAAAAACTATTAGTACGTGAGGATAATATGGTCATCCGGTTAATATGGTTACTTTCCCATAACTCGAAAACTACAGCCTTGTTTACATATATGGTTCTGTGATATAATAGCTCTTCATCAGTCAATCAAATAATAAAGGATCAAAAGGGCGCTGCTTTATCGACGCCATTTTGACCGTGGAAATTATAGTAAATATTTTAGTAAATTTTAGTATTATGTAGTGTAGTTAGTTTTTTTTAAGTTGATTTTTCGAAGTATTTACTAATTATTGCCAAAGCTTGTTTGCAATTTTTTTTTCTTAATATATTAGTTATAGTATACGAGTTTGTGTTTTTATCATGGTCCTCCTACTAGTTTTGGTTTTATAGGGTGATAAAGCTTAAGGTGACCATACTACCCTCACGTACCTTATTGGTCAGATCCTGATCAAATTTATATGGGACCACATGAGAAGCACCAGCTTTCAAATATTGAGCATAGTGCTTAGGTCCCCCAGCGATTCTGCCATAAGGACTATATCATCGGCAAATCGAAGGTGAGTAATGTATTCCAGTCTAGTAGCTTGAAAACGTCTTCCAATACAGCGGTGAAGAATTTCGGGAATATTACTTCACCCTGTGTTACACCTCTCTGCAATTGGATAGGTTTCGTACTCTGGTTCTGTACTCGGATAGCCATCGCAGCTTTACTGTACAAACACTTCAGCACTTCGATATACCGACAGTCCACTTGGCACCGCTGGAGGGACTGCAGCACCGCCCAAATTACTACGGAATCAAAGGCTTTCTCATAGTCTACATTCGCAAGATGAAGTGGCAAATTGTACTTTTCGGTCTTCTGTATAATTTATATTGGTAGAACAAGTTGCCGGATTCGAGGATTACCGTGTCCTCCCCCTCTCTTTGGATCTCGTATAATCCTATAATATTCCAGCGCAACTTGCCTATCTCTTCTTCCAACTCCAGGATCTTCTTGTCAGTCCTCAGGATGCGTGCGTTATAAATGGCCAGTTCGAGTCGTCGTAGGTGGCAACAGAAACTCCACCGGAGATTCTCAACATCCCCTGCCCCGCCGTTACCATGGTCGCCACCGTCGCCAGGAATAGCAGGGCCGCCGGGGACTGGGGGCCTTTTATTAGTGGCATTGCTCATGAGGGGTATATTGCCATAGTTGCCACACTTAGCGAGCGGGTTGGCAGCCACAGTTTTTTTATTGCTTTTTGCTGTTATCAGAAAGATGCTGCTGCCCATCTTCTGCCTCAGTTTCCCTCTGTCGCCTCTTACGACACTCACGGAAAGATATGGGGTAGTGAGGATTTTTAGCTACCACTACACGGGACAGCAAGATAGGACAGTTAAAACTACGAGTACTTGTCGCATTTTTGTCATCAAAAATCCTAAGTTTGTTATAGCAACGGGATTATGTCACTACCTACAAGATAGCAACAAGTTATCGAACAAAATTACACATAAGTATATATTATAAATTATAATTAAACGTAATTAAACTTTTAAATATGTCTTGAATTTATGTATAAAATACGAAGAAACTTTTCCCTTACCTTATATTACGTGTAAATTATTTTGTCTTGATTATTAGAAGTCGGCTTTTACTTTTAATAAAAGAAAGTTCATACATTTAACATGTGAATTCAATTAGCAACTGCTTTTACTCGGATATTAGCTGGTAAAATTTACATTAATCTTTAATCTTTCACTTACACTAATCTCTAATTAGAAATAGATTTTTTTATTCAATATAGATTATAAATAATACTTATTGAAAGTCTCTCTTATGTTTAATTTACCACTGTTTCGTAAAATACCTCTGTCCTAGGAACAACCAGCAAGAAACCCAGTGGGATGTATTAAAAAAGAAAGAACAGTTTACAATCATATTTATTATGTTACAGAATAACCATCAACTCAAAAAAAATAAGAAATAGCTTAGTAGCGATCACCTTATACACAGAGGTTATTATCATCCATAAATTACTTAATATTATAATAACCCGTTTTATACAAACTTAGTTTAAAAAAGATGTTAAACTTCGCGGAAGTCAGATTTTGAATACTGGGATTTTGTAGTGGAAGTGTATACTCGTAAGTCACAGTTAAAACTCATAACCGGTCAAAACCACTTTTGACTGCAAAAATAGTTTTGACCGTTGCCCTTAGTCAAAAACAGTTTTGACTGATTTTTGTAGTCAAAAGTGGTTCAGACCAACGTTCTTTGTCAAGAGTAATTTTGCCTCATTTAAAGTTCAGACTATCGGTCAAAACTCGCAATATCAGTGACAGTAGGTTAAGGTGCGGCTGGGCTGGCCTTTGGGCCACCCTAAAGCCGCGTACATTATAATGATATGAAATATGATATTTAAAGAATAAAAGAACATTTTTAATTTTAAAAATTCAAAAAGTATAACTCATAAGTAGTTTTGAGTAACATTCGTTGTCAAAACCATTTTAACCGATATAATTTGGTTAAAATCTTTTTTTTTCTTTTTTAAAAAACGTTACCCCCACACTAAGATTTTCTCCTGTGTCGTGGAGGCAGTTTACAAACATAAATTGCACAAGGACAAACATCCAGACCCGGAACAATTATTTGTAGGCCATACAAATACTTGTTCCGTGCGGGATTCGAACCCGCGGCCCCCAGCGCAACAACTGATTGCTAAGCCACTGCGCCACGGAGCCGTCAATTTAACAATATTACTCAATATTTATAACTGCAAAATGGTTTTGATCGATATTTAAAAGTCATAGCAGGTCAAAACTACTTTTGACTGCTAAAATCAGTTAAAACTGATATTGACAAACGTCTTTAGTCAATACTACTTTTACCTGGTTTTTTGCAGTAAAAAGTTTTAACCGGTTATGACTTTTGACTGCAACATATACATTGCCCCAAAAATGAATTACTGACGCTGTGGAGTCAACTTAAATTATTACTACAACTAGTTCAAATTCACATCTGTTATCAATCTATGAGTTAGTTTGTTCTGATTTTGTTGTTGTTTTTGTCCATTTCAGTTCCCGAAAAACAAGGGTGAAGACGTTCGCTGCGCAAATAAGGAAAATGTGTGGCAAAAGAAAATGCGTGGTGCGGAAAACTAAAGTAGAGGTGTGTATGGATTACTTTTTTATGTTTTATTTGATAGTTTCCGTGACCTCGCACAGGTTGTGTTATTCTAGCCGGGGATAAGCTTTGTGCAAAAACGCATTTGGTTGTCTCACTTGTATCCCAGCGATAACTCCTTATCTTTGATGCAGTAACCTAACCTACCTCCAATCTTATCGCATATTATGCATAATGGCCTGGTAGGCCGTAGTATAGTTATAATTCAATTTTAAAAATAAATAATTCTAGGACTAAATGTCACGTTTCCATTAAAAAGGACCCACCACATGAAACACAGCAGCATGAAGCTACTATTTTACATTAATATACTGTGAGAGGCTTCAGGCTACAATAACACGATAAAATATATTGTGAATATGAGTCATTTTCGTCTATAAATATACCTAGATATTGTTGATAGTTTGACTAAAGCGTCACCTATCGCATCCTAGCACATATATAATTTATTGTCCCGATAAAACAAAATATATTGTGTAAATATGAACTCAATCCGTCAAGTCGTTCAGAAGTTGCCAGATCAATAAATACACTCCAATGATTACATCTAATATATACAAATTAATTTTTGTTTGTTCGTATTTTGTGCGTTGTCATAATCTTGTCAACTTTTCAACTTATTGCTTGCACTTAGGCGAAGGTTATAGGCATAGTACAATTAACTTATAGTAGGTGGCGCGTGTATCGTACCTACCGGCAAGTTAATTGAAAGTTATAGATCATTCAATTTCAATTATTATACAGTAGAACGCCGACTATCCGAACGCCGATTAACCGAATCGCCAATTATCCGAATCGGTCCTAAGCGTAATATAAAAAATGAAAACCAAGTACCTACCTACTGTAAGTAAGTATTTCGTATATTATCTGCCGCAGCGTTGATGCTCTCTATCTCTCTCTCTCTCTCTCTCTCTCTCTCTCTCACTAGTGCACTACTTACGTATTGTAGAACTGTGTTTGTTAAACTTAATAAAGTTTATTCTATGTTTGACAGTTCGTTTTTCTTTATTACATACCAATCTATGTCTGATTATCCAAATTTTCGATTATCCGAATCCGACCCCGGTCCCAATTAATTCGGCGTTCTACTGTATTATCATTTCTTATTAAACAATATAACTCTTCCAAATTAAAAATTATACTTTAAAAATTATTTCTTCTGCGGCAGCAATGCGCCAGGACCACCTAGTATAATGATGGAGATGTGCTAATGCCAAGTTTATTAAAGCAAGGAATACCTTGCTTCTAGTGGGAAGGGTATTACGGAGAAAGTTTAAGTTTATATGCTGCGCTCCGTCGCCGGTATTTTACATATGTAATGTACGAGACTTTATACCACCGTCTGTCGTTGGCCCTGAGGTCTTTCTGGCCTTATCCATGGTCATCTCTCACAACACCCACAGGACGAAATGGTTGTGTTGGATTATATTAGATCGCCACCTTAACATGGCACACACAATTCTTCAGAGACTTAAATAGCGTTAACAAACGTGGACAGTTCTTGTATAAAATGAATCCTTGAGAATATTTCTATGACAAAGTTAGATTGCCCAGGTACTATTGTAATAATGCACACTGAGAACGAAGAGAGCACGAAGAGAGGCGGATGTGGTGATCTGAAAGGCTAAGGATATTGCATGAGAACGTGTTTAGAATCAAACAAAAAGACAGAGTAGGCTATATAAAGACAAAACCGGAACTGTAGACATGAGATGAATTTAAATTGGTAATCAGACGTTCGAGACACGGCTTGTTTTTGTGTCTGCCTTTTTATCTTTTTTTTATATTAGAGTGACAAACGAACCTACAGTTCACCTTATGGTAAGCAATGCAGCTTATAGACGCCTGTGACTACTTTCAGATAAAGAAGGCCTAAGATTCGTTGTAACCCGTGGAGGATTTAGACATGCCACCATGTGATTACACTAAATATTTTAACCTTAAAATCAGAACTTTTTAATTTAAAAATGTTTTTTTGTGTGTATGTTACTCGATATCTTCGTCAATTGTGAACCGACTTTGGTGACTCTTTCTTTATTAAATAGCTTATACTTCATTAAGGAGAAAACAGTTCATACCTAAGGGCAGCGAAATAGGGAATGAAGTTTTTAATGTAACTATTTAGACGACAAAGGTTGTGATAACCCGTAGTCTAATCAAAATGATAATAAATCTTAAAAGAGTAAAATAATTTGACATTCTGAAGTCGGGGCTTTATTTTTACTATACAATATGTATTAGCGCCGACTTCGTTGTCAATGCTCTATTGTCTAATAGCGATCCGCCTCGGCTTCACACGGTTAATTTCTGGATCAAGACAACAACGCCACCTACCGGGTCCAAATGTGAATCTAAACCATTCTCTATGAACTTAATCACACACACAAAATAAACACACGTACAGAAGAATTATGTAATATATATGCATTATAATACATGCATATATATTACATATAAACTTTTTTATAAAATTACATTGTCTAATAATGAAAATTGTTTTAAAATAAATTGCGTAGTTTAAAAGATTTAAGCGTACAGATCGACGTCTTGAAGTGACTTTGTTAATCTAAATAGAGATACAAATAATTTTTTTATTCTTTGAAGTTGGCTTTTACTTTAAACGAAAAGTTGTTTTTTGTTACAAATATTTGTTAAAATATTATAATCAAACTTTTCTTGCAACGTATTTTTACTGATTTTGTCTTAAATGGAATTTAATTAGTCAATAATATGATAAAAACTGCATTACTTCTGTGTGCATGTGCCTAATAAATGCATTTCTATCTATTATATAATATTTTATGGTTACGAGTAATTGACTAATTTCAAACGCGTCTTCCTTTCAGGTCTTTACTGTCACTAAGAATCAAACGGTTTGCTGCAACGGGTATGGTTACAGAAGCGAAGACGATTCTTGCACCCCTCTTTGCAGTACTGGTTGCAACGGAGGCCGGTGCGTAGCCCCTGACGTGTGCCACTGCGACCCCCCAGCCACTTTAGACGAGGAGCATAAAAACGTATGCATCATGCCCACGTGTGAACCACCATGTGTGAACGGCGCATGCGTTGCCAATGACACTTGTCATTGTAACACCGGTTTCATGGAGTACAACTCTACACATTGCTACCATTGTGACCCTGGCTATGCGATCGATATGACCTTCAACTGCGTTCCAATTTGTGACCCACCGTGCGTTAATGGAAACTGTATTGGACCAAACATTTGTGGCTGCCCTACTGGGTATAAACTTAAGGGTACTTTCGCGTGTGAACCTGTTTGCGATAGCCCTTGTATCAATTCCACATGCACTGCGCCAAATGTTTGTTCATGTTTTGAGGGATATACGGAAGTGAATGGTACTTGCGTACCGCGATGTGTTTCATGTGATAATGGACAATGTGTTGGACCGAACGTTTGTGTTTGTAATGACGGCTTTACAAAGGCTGATGGTGGTTGCGTACCAACATGCGATGAAACTTGTGTGAATGGAGTTTGCTCGGCTCCGAATACGTGTTCCTGTAATGAGGGTTATATAAAGGACAATAGCAGTTATTCCAGATGCTTCAAGCCCTGCAGCGGCCAGTGCAAAAATGGGTGTGACGAGAACGGAACATGCATAGATTGCAGTATACCTATAAGGTATGATTATTAATTAATTTAGTAATGTTTTAATTTAATTTTCCTTAAGAAAACTCATACTCACACCTCTTTATTGCCAACATGTCACGCATTTGAACCAAGCGCAAGTAGTTTTTCGTACATCATTACAGCCCTTCACAAGTCCACTGCTGAACATAGGCCTCCCCCAAAGAATGCCACAAAACACGGTCCTGAGCCACCTGCATCCATCGACTTCCTGCATGTCTTACCAGGTCGTCACTCCATCTCGTGGGGGGACGCCCTACACTTCGCCTACCGGTACGAGGCTGCCACTCGAGAACCTTTCTTCCCCATCGGTTGTCGGTTCTTCGAGCTATATGGCCGGCCCACTGCCACTTCAGCTTACTAATCCGTTGGGCTATGTCGGTCACTCTGGTTCTACTGCGGATATCCTCATTCCTAAGTTTATCACGCAGAGAAACTCCGAGCAGAGCCCTCTCCATAGCTCGCTGAGCGACCTTGAGCTTCCTCATACGGCCAGCAGTGAAGGACCACGTCTCAGTTCCGTAAGTCATCACTGGCAACACGCACTGGTTGTACAATTTCGTTTTAAGGTTTTGAGGTATGTCTGACGAGAAGATGTGTCGTAGCTTCCCGAACGCTGCCCAGCCGAGTTGAATCCGTCGATTGACCTCTCGGTCGAAGTTGGACTTACCCAGTCGGACTATTTGTCCCAGGTAAACATACTCGTCAACAACTTCGAGCTTAGTGTTCCCAACAACTATCGGCATAGGTGTGACATGGACATTAAACATGATCTTAGTTTTGTCCATGTTCATCTTAAGACCTATCCGTTGGGAAACACTATTGAGGTTATTGAGCATAGTGCTTAGGTCCTCCAGCGATTCTGCCATAAGGACTATATCGTCGGCAAATCGAAGGTGAGTGATGTACTCGCCATTGATGTTGATACCGTATCCTTTCCAGTCCAGAAGCTTGAAAACGTCTTCCAATGCAGCGGTGAAGAGTTTCGGGGATATGACGTCACCCTGTCTTACACCTCTCTGCAATTGGATAGGTTTCGTACTCTGGTTCTGTACTCGGATAGCCATCGTAGCCCTACTGTACAAGCACTTCAACACTTCGATATACCGACAGTCAACTTGGCACCGCTGAAGGGACTGCAGCACCGCCCAAATTTCGACGGAATCAAAGGCTTTCTCATAGTCCACATACGCCAGACATAGTGGCAAATTGTACTCTTCGGACTTCTGTACAACTTGCCGAAGGGTATGTATGTGGTCTATGGTGCTAAAGCCTTTTCGGAAACCGGCTTGTTCGGGAGGCTGGAAGTCGTCAAGTCTGCGCGCGAGACGATTCGTAATGACTCTCGAAAACAGCACGTAGACGCGGCTCAGAAGGGAAATCGGTCTGTAGTTCTTCAAGAGAGCGTTGTCACCTTTCTTGAAGAACAAGACCACCGCACTTCTGCTCCACGCCTCCGGTGTAATGCCACCATGGAGGACGGAATTAAAGAGCTTCTGAAGGACTTCAAGTACCGGTCTTCCACCCGCTTTCAGAAGCTCCGCTGTAATTCCATCCTCGCCTGGGGCCTTACCGTTTTTAAGGTGCTGGAGAGCCATCCTAATCTCGCTCAGACTGACATCCGGGATATCTTCGGAATAGTGTCGGATGAGACTCGCTCTTGGATCGTTACTCACACTTGCGTGTGGCTCCAACGATGATGTGTACAGCTGCCCATAGAACCTCTCAATCTCACTCAAAATCTCAGGTGTCCCGGAAACGATGCTGCCACATTCTGTCTTCAGCTTTGACAGTTGGCTCTTTCTGGCAGACAGATCTCTGGCAAAGACTTTGGAGCCTTGGTTCCGCTCGATCGCTTCTTCAATACGAGCTGTATTGAAGTTGCGTAAGTCCCGCCGCATGCATTTGGAGATCTGTCTGTTCAGATGCCTGTATGCTGTCAAGTCTGTTGAAGAATGTAGCTTCATCTCCCGTCTAACAGCCATGAGATTAAGAGTGTGATCGGAGAGTTTTTGTGTTCTTCTGCGGCGGGTCTTGCAGAACTTAGCTCCGACCGCATGGACAGTTTCCACGAGCTTGTCATTCATATCGTCCACTTCATTGCAGTCTTCTAGGCACTGAAAACGGTTTTGTAATTCGAGCTGAAAGGTTTCGGGACTTTGAAACAGAGCACGAGGGGGACGGAGCGTTGACTTCATTAGACGAGACCTCTCCAACTTAACGTTTAGGTTCAGTGTGCCTCTAACCATTCGGTGATCGCTACCAGTTTTCACCCTCGCGATCACGGAGACATCACTGAACAGTTGTCGTCTGGTCGTCATAATGAAGTCAATCTCATTTTTTGTGGAACCGTCGGGGCTCGACCAGGTCCACTTCCTGTGGGGCCGCTTCTGGAAGAAAGAGTTCATCATAAAGAGTCCCTCTTTCTCCATGAAGTCGGCCAGCTGCTGGCCCCTTGGGTTCCGTTGCCCTATTCCAAATTTCCCTACTTTCAGCTCACCGTTCTCTCTTGTGCCTAGTTTTGCATTGAAGTCTCCCATTAACACCGTATATTGGGTTTTGGAGGAATGCATGGCTCTAGAGATATCCTCATACATTTCCTCCACCTCCTCATCGGGGTGTGCCGAGGTTGGTGCGTAAACCTGTATGACCTTCAGCGAATACCGTTTGGTGATTCTGAGTATAAGGTACGCAACCCTCGTCGACACACTCCCGATTTTTACAACGTTGTTAACGAGAGACTTGTGGACGATAAATCCGACACCTCCTTGGGACAGATGGTCGCCCTCCCGGTGATAGAGCAAGTTGCCGGATTCGAGGATTACCGTGTCCTCCCCCTCTCTTCGGACTTCAGATAATCCTATAATATGCCAGCGCAACTTGTCTATCTCTTCTTCCAGCTCCACGATCTTCTCGTCAGTCCTCAGGGTGCGTGCGTTGTACGTTGCCAGGTCGAGTCGTCTAAGGTGGCAACCGAACCTCCACCGGAGATTCTTAGCACCCCCTGCCCCGCCGTTACCATGGTCGCCACCGTAGCCAGGAATAGCGGGGCCGCCGGGGACTGGGGGCCGTCTCTTTGTTACTCTCTTCATAGGGGGGGTATTTGCCATAGTTGCCACGCTTGGCGAGCGGGTTGGCAACCGCAGTTTTTTTTATTGTCATTTGGCTATTATCAGGAAGATGCTGCTGCCCATCTCCTGGCTGTTTCCCTTTGTCGCCTTTTACGACACCCACGGGAGGATATGGGGTAGTGGATATTCTTGACCGCCACTACACGGCAGTTCGTACAGCAAAGAGTTAAATAATTTACTATTATCTATTTTTAGAGTGTTTTTTGTAGGTGTTTTCGAGACAAGAGTGAAGTGGCTTTGCTCTTAAATGTTCAGCTATTTATCATAAGGTACAATAGGAGTCAACTTATGAATTATAATAAATAAAACAGCTTTTAGAATGTAGAAGAGCCAAGCTGAAGTGAATTATTAAAATTGAAAAATTATTGCATCAGTAATGAGCCGGTAAGAGCAAAGAAGGACCACATTCGCTTATAAAAACTGGAATAGCAGCATGATACTGCTGTGTTACAGACGGTGATGCTTTTTACTGATATCAGGGCATGCTATCTTAGTTCTTTTGTGTTACAATGCATCTGTATTTTTTTTGTTAACTATTGTATAGTATTCGGGTTTTCTAGTGTTTGGGCCACATCATCCACGTATTATCAGGTGTAATGTGTATTCTTTTGTCACCTTGTATAAAAAAGCGGTGAACACTACCTGTGTTAATGAAACGCGTTTCTAGCAATAGACCAATAGCGCTAACTATAGTCCACCGCTGGAAATATGCCTTTATTATAGATATTTGCTATAGTTGGCACGCATTGCAAGCGGTTTGGTAACAACAGTTTTTAATTTTAGTCATTATATGGAAGACGCTGCTGTCCATCTCCTGATTTGTTTCCCTCTTTCGACGCCCACGAGATGATATAGGGTAGTGGATATTCTTAAAATACCCATACACTTTAATTATATTAATAAATACATTCAAAAATGCCAAACACAAGGTCTCATAGTCTTGCGATACCAAACGACATTATCGATGTGATTGCATATACTCTATATTCATCAACCTGCTTAGTGTAATGAGTAAAGACAAGTCTCAAGTTATGCATGTCGCTTTGCGCATTGTTAGGTAAAACACTGCACAAACTTGGATTATTGAGCTTGGATATATATTAATAGAACTGCAGACCAAAATGTGCAATGAAGTGAAATTAAATATATTTATTTTTGAGTCTACTAACGTTTCAAAAGGTCACCGGAGAAGAAACGACGAAAGAAACTGCGTATTTTTAAAGTTCAAATTAAATAGTAGATGTTTTATAAAACAATTGAGACTCAATGGCAGCTGAAGCCTTCTCTTGTTTTATAATAGAAGCTGTAGGTAGAAATAATAGACTTTATCAGAGAACACAACAAAATTTTTTGTCTGCAGTAGAGCCACGCTGCAGCTATATTATGGTTGTAGCACGACTGGGTCGGCTCGACTGGGAAAGGAGCACGCTCTTACAGAATACCAGCGTAAAATAGCAGTTTAATATTGCTATATTTCATGTGGTGAGTTCTGAGAACCGGGGACCCTTTTGCTGGAAATAAGGCATTCCATCTACGTACTCAGGGGTGAAAACGCATCTGAATTTTGATTATTAATTAAAAAAAGATCTCTATGAACCACAGCATCCATTTAACATCATGTGGACTATGTGCTCGTTTGTCCTACAAATAGAAGCTCTTTCGAGAATAACATAACAGCGTGTATAAAGGTCTATTAGTAAATAGGGTATTTAGATATAGGGTTATTAATTACTACGAAATAGGAATAAATTCGTTTTAGTTTGAATACGTGCACAGAGAAGTCCGAGCGAGTGTTTTTCACCAATCGCGGCAATGGACGATCTATTTTATTGTTTTTTTTTTGTTTGGATTTTGTTTTTTGTACTGCAATGCGTTA